GAAATCTTATTTTATCTGGCAGTCAGTTGAATCTGTCTTAGTCTGCCTACTAATTTCCTTAGGAAATATTTTTTTAAATGATATAAGTAATGACAAGGGACCGTTCTGGGCTTGGCTGGGCTGACCTCTGCTGTCGTTTGAAGGTCATGGAGGCGGAGCAGACCAAGACCAGGAGCGAGTTGGTGCACAAGGAGACGGCGGCCAGGTACAACGCCGCCATGGGCCGCATGCGGCAGCTGGAGAAGAAGCTCAAGAGAGCCATCAACAAGTCCAAGTGAGTCTGGGCACGGCCTCCTCTGGGGCGGCGACTTTGTCTTCCCCTCATGCACCTCCTCCACCTGTTGCGTGCCATACACTCAGGGAGCAGCCTGAGCAAGTGCTTGACACAGAGCCTGAGGCCTGACGGGAGCCCCTGCCCAGGCTCCCTCTGCCCCGTAAGCTTCTACATGACCCCCCAAGCCAGAGGCAGGAGGGTGCTGAGGGGTAGGGCTGCTCCAGATATGGGAAAAGCAAATGGTTGTGTGACCCATTGGCTGGGGCCTGGCAGGGACAGATTACCCAATAAGCAAGGCACACATGATGTGGTGAAACCCAGGTGAAATTGTGCACTGCAGATTGGTAAGTAAACATGATTAAGCCTGTATGTACCTTGCTTACTGTAAGCTGGTGCGTACCATACTTACTGGTTAATCCACCCCAGCACCTGGGGCTGGGCTCTGGGAGACTCAGGTGGGGCCCTTGGCTCTGCAGCTAACGGTGTGCACAAGACCCTGCCCCTCAGTTTCCCTGTCAGCGTAATGGTGATGAACGCGTACGTAGTGCATGTTCTCTGTGGGTCAAGAGCTGATGAAATGCCGCAGACTCGTTTCAGGGGAGTTTTTTTCAAACTCTTATATAATTTTATACAGTAATGATCATGATGAGCAAACAACCATGTTTATCCTCTCCTGGGGACAAGCCCCCTGCTTCATTCACTGTTGCTGGGCCTCCAAGCGGAAGGGGCAGGACTGGGGATGACCTTGACCCAACAGCTGTAGATGAACCCAGAGCCCACTGTGGCGGGGTGTGGGCATCACTACTACATTTCTGTTTTTGGAAGCAGCAGGCGCCAGCCAGCCAGGGGTCAGGCAACTGGAGCTTGGCAGAGGCCTAGCCCTCCTCCAGGTGAGGGGAAGAGGTGCCAATTCAGTAGCTCCCCCCAATATCTCCTACCACTCTTATCTTCATTTATTTCTGTCCACTCTCCAACACACACACACACACACACACACAGACACCACTCACCACTGCGCACACATACATACTCACTCTTCAATTATCCTTATTTAAGAAAAAAAAATTCCTAGTTACTGCACTCTGTCAACCTTTCAGGACCCCACAGTCGGGAGAGTAGGGACAGATCCTAAAAGCCTTAGGTGGCTCCTCCCTTCCTACAGGATGAAATGTACATCTGTGCATTTCCTGTGCCCGCCCCGCCTCCCCACTCTTGCTCTGGCCACTTGCCTGTTCCCTAGCCATGGTGGGAATGCTCATGTTCTCTCTGGAAATCTTCTCTGTGCCCTGGTGCTCCCGTTCACGATCTCTGCCTGCCTCTCCTCGTCTCACCTTGTGCAGACTGATGTCTGTTCCCTTTGGTCACGTGGCAGCCCCTGTGAACTGCACCCCCTTCCTATGTTCCAGATTTTCCATGCCCACCGAGGGTGGTTCTTCAGTGTCCTCATCATCCCACTAGATCCTCAGAATGCAGGAGCTCCGTGGAGGGTGGGCAACTGAGAATAAGGCATGGATCTGCTGTTAACGTTCAGACCCCAAGGCTCCTAAAGCGAGCCAGGCTCTCTGCTGGCTCGTCCGAACCCAGGACACTTGTCCAGTGTTTGTGTTTCTTGTCCCTTCTTGTGCTTGTGACCTGGCTGGGTCTGCAGACTAGTTGGTGCTGGGCACTGAGTCAGACTGCCCAGGAAGACCAACAGGAGACCACCCCTCCTTTGGTAACCCCACTGGGCTCAGTGAGGGGAGGTGTGATGCTGCCCTTCCCTCGTTGACCTCAGCAGAGGAGGATGTGTGTTTGAGCAGCCCCCTTCTCCAGCCTCGCTGCTCTTCATCCTTGGAGAGCCATCCTCATTGGGAGAAGGGACTCATCTGCTTGGCCCTCCCTGTGTGGCTTTGAGCAGTGCTTGGGTGTGCATGCGTGTGGGTTCCTGTATCTTGAGATGGGCCTCCCGTCAGCGTGGCCCTGGCTGAGCCCAGCAGCTCTGGCATCCGTGTCCATCAGACCTCGGAGCTGGGAGCATCCCCTTCACCTCACGGCCTTGTCAGAGTTTACTAAATCCAGGAAGAATGGCTGGGCCAGCTGTTGCCAGTGCCTCTGCTACCCCCTGAGGGTTTTTTTGTGGTCTGTATTATATTACCTTTATCGTTTTTCCTCCCTGTCTTTTACAGGCCTTATTTTGAACTCAAGGCAAAGTACTACGTGCAACTTGAGGTATGTGTGGATTTGGTTTGGTCACTGATGGGATTTTTTTCTGTTCCACTTTAGTGTGGTAGTATGCTTTCAAATATGGTGCCCTGGTGGTACAGTGGTTAAAGCACTCAGCTGCTAACTGTAAGGCTGGTGATTCGAACCCACCAGCCACTCTATAGGAGAAAGACATGACAGTCTGCTTCCGTAAAGATTGCAGCCTTGCAAACCCTATGGGGCAGCTGTACTCTGTCCTGTAGGGTCATTATGAATCAGAATCGACTCGATGGCAGTGTTTTTTTTTTTCTTTTTTTTTTCTTTTTAATGTTTTCTTTAAAGGAACCCTCGTGGTACAGTGGTTAAATGTTTGGCTGCTAACCAAAAGGTCGGCAGTTCAAACCTGCCAGCCACAGGAGACAGATGTGGCAATCTGCTTCCATAAAGATTACAGCCTAGGAAACCCTGTGGAGCAGTTCTGCTCTGTCCTGTAGGGTCACCATGAGTTGGAATCAACTGACGGGAATGAGTTTTAATTGTTATAAGGGAAGGTTGGAGAGAGAGTTTTTCCCTGGTTTTTAGGCCTCAGATGGTCTTGGTTGGGTCTTCGGCTGTCTCTGAAGCTCTATAAATCTGCCATTCAGCCACTGTCTGCATTGTATGAGGGCAGTGGTTCTCCAGGTGTGTCCCTGGACCAGCAGCATTAGCATCGCCTGGGAACATTTCAGACATGAAAATTTCTGGGGCTCCATCCAGTGCCCACTGATTCAGAAACTCTGGTGACAGGGCCCAGCAACCTGTGCTTTAACAAGCCCTCCGGGTGATTCTGATATACAGTAAAACCCAAAGCCAAACCCACTGGCATCGAGTCCATTCCAGCTCATAGAGACCCTGTAGGACGGAGTAGAACTGCCCCATAGTGTTTCGAAGGCTGTAAATCTTTACGGAAGCAGACTGCCACATCTTTCTCCCGTGGAGCAGCTGGTGGGTTTGAACCGCTGACCTTTCAGTTAGCAGCTGAGTGCTTTAACCACTGTGCAACCAGGGCTCCTTCTGATGCACACTAAGTTTGACAGTTGCTACACTGGGGACCAGATGGCTAGATTATGTACTCACCGAGGTGTCGGTGGGACTTCTGTGTGAGGGGCCTTACTCCCCTAGTGATGGTTTCTGGATCTTAAAGCTTGAGTGCGTCAGCCTGGATGGGGTTGGGTGAGGAGGGTGGTGGTGGCTGAATTTACCTGGTGAATCGATAGCTGGGACGTGAATAGAGAAATCGGGGCGTAGGTCCTCCGTCATGTCTTGGGAAATCCTTAGAAATGGACCGATGGGCAGATGTGCTTAAAGCTGTCATTTGAAAACCATCGTAGGGCCGGCAGGGGCAGCCTTCGCTTACTGAGCCTCCTGTTCCCACAGCAACTGAAGAAGACTGTGGACGACCTGCAGGTCAAACTGGCCCTGGCAAAGGGCGAGTACAAGACGGCCCTGAAGAACCTGGAGATGATCTCAGACGAGATCCACGAGCGGCGACGCTCCAGCGCCATGGGGCCCCGGGGCTGCGGCGTCGGCGCGGAGGGCAGCAGCACGTCCGCGGAGGACCTGTCGGGGAGCAAGCCCGAGCCGGATGCTGTTTCTGGTGAGCAAGTGGGGAGCTCACACCAGCCTGTGTAGGTCAGGGCAGGTCTGCCTCCAGGGCTGACTTGTCCCAGGGTCTCCCCCTCTCTGGCCATCACTAAAGGGTCTCAGTTGGGAAGACCTGAGGGTGTTTCTAGTATATTCCTGTTTTGTGAACACTGTGTTCAGCAAGATATTACTAAGTATTCCTAAAAGTCAATTATGTGGTCAGATAAGTTTGGAAAGTGATACACTTTCATACCTCTTTGAGATTCAAGGCTCTGAGAAGTCCTGCAGGGAAGAAGAGTTGTCTAAAAATAGAGACTTTGGAATCCGATTTGATTCCTGTACTGGCCTTCCCATCATTACTAGTGCTGGGCAAGGGCTTAACTTTATACCTGTTTCTTCACCTGTAAAATGGGGAGTATGATAGTACTTAAATACAACCCATTGCCATCGAGTCAATTCTGACTCATAGCAACCCTATACGACAGAGTAGAACTGCCCCATACGCTTTCTAAGGCTATAATCTTTACGGAAGCAGACTGCCACATCTTTCTCCGGCAGAGCGGCTGGTGGGTTCAAACTGCCAACCTTTTGTTAGCAGCTGAGCACTTTAACCACTGCACCACCAGGGCTCCTTATGATAGTACCTACTACCTACTGTGTGGAGTAGTGGTTAGGATTAAATGAAATATTGCCTGGCATCCAGTAAGCACTGAGAAGATGGTGGCATTCACTGGTGTCTGACCATGGAGACCTTTTTTTTCCCACCCAGGGCCAGCACCCTCTGGAAAGCTGATAGAGTGTGACTTGACTCCCTCCTTTACAGTAATCAAGAAAACCAGCAGTCTTGACACACTTCTTTCTTTTTCTTTCCTGTGGAATAATCCCTGTTGGCTCTTTCCCAAGCTCCTTCCCCAGGAGCTCTTTAATTCAGTCAACAGACATTTAAACGCTAGGCCCAAGATAAAGGAAAAGCGAACTATAATGTGAGCGACAACTGTGTGTGAGGTATGTTCATATACATTGTCTCAGATACCCTATGTGGAGAGGAACATGAAGCTCAGAGATGTTCAGTAACTTGGCCAAGGCCACACAGCAAGTAATGGAGGTAGGGTTTGTGTTCGGGTCTGAGCCCGTTTTCTGCCCCAGCGTTACAGTACTTTTAATTTTGGTCATCGGCTATGGAATGCTACAGGCTGTTTTTAAAGATGAGGGAGGGAGAAAGGGGAGTAGGCGAGGAAAGAGCTAATAAGAAGCAGGATCATGTCAGGTTGAGGAGAAACAGTTAAAGGCTGAAGAGGCTTTAAAACCACAGGAATGATGTTTCTCTTGGCCCTGGTCATTCTGGTCCACAAAATAAGGCATGAGTACAGAGCATTGTAAAAGAATTTTGTCCTTTTGTGGCAACAGTGATGTAGGAAGGAGCTCTGGTGGCCCAGTGGTTAAGAGCTCAGCCACTAACCGAAAGGTTGGTGGTTTGAACTCACCCAGTGACTCTGTGGGAGAAAGACCTGGCAACCTGCTCCCATATAGATCACAGCCTAACAGACCCTATGGGGGCAGTTCTACTCTGTCAGATGGTTGCTATGAGTTGAAAATCGACTTGATAGCACCTACCAACAAGTGATGTAGGTAGGCTCTGAGTATGTCTTTTATGGGATCAGAAGTGGCCTGGAAGATAACAAAGGTTACAACAGATATTCCATACAGGGCTTTCTTCCCAGCAGCTCTTGCCTCTACTGCCCTGGAAGAAGACAGCCCTTAAATCCAACTGGCTTTGTTCAGGATGCATTACACAGGGCCAGCCCCTCTTCTGTGCATGTGTGGATGTGTTTGGGGGACTGGGGTAGAAAAGAAGTCCTGATCTGTGACTGAATGACTCTCCCACCTTTAGGCAGTGTCTGGCCGATACACAGACAGGAGAGGAGGGTGGTGGCACCGATTTCTAGAGCAGGGGTTAGAAAGTTGTTGAGAGCACCTGCTGAATAGCTATGGGCTCCAGCTGCCAGCTGCTTCCCTGGCTGGTCATTAGGCTCGGGAGGGGTCATGTTCCTTTTATTTAAGGCACCCACAGTGACCGATCCTGCAGTCCCCCCAGGCTGCCTAGCTGCCTGCCAGCAGCGTACAGTCTTTGGAGATGTTTAAGGAGCTAAATCTGTTGCCGTTGACTCCGACTCATGGCGACCCCCTATGTGTCAGAGTACAGGGTCCACCATAGGGTTTTCAGTGGCCGATTTTTCGGAAGCATTTGCCAGGACTTTTCTTCTGAGGTGCCTCTGGGTGGACACCAACCTCCAACCTTCAGTTAGCAGCCAAACTTGTTAACTGTTGTCAGACTCCGTGTGACTGGTTTTTTCTCATTCTAGTGGCCTCAGAGGCCTTTGAAGATGACAGCTGCAGCAACTTTGTGTCTGAAGATGACTCGGAAACCCAGTCTGTGTCCAGCTTTAGTTCAGGACCAACAAGCCCATCTGAGATGCCCGACCAGTTCCCTGTCGTTGCAAGGCCTGGCAGCCTGGACCTGCCGAGCCCTGTGTCCCTGTCAGAGTTTGGGATGACGTTCCCAGTGCTGGGCCCTCGCAGTGAATGCAGTGGGGCCTCCTCCCCTGAATGCGAGGCAGAACGAGGTGAGTTGCAGCCTTCCACCAGCAGTGTCCCGACTCACATGACTCACTGTCACATCTTCTCACTCTTCCCTGCCTTCACCAGGGCTCCGAGCCCAAGGCCGCAGTATTGTCTGCGCGTGTGCTCTCAGCGCTGCTGGCTGTGATGGTCTCACGGTGCTTTTGGGGGGCTCTGGCCCCACTCCTGCCCAGCTCTGGTAAAGCAGAGCCTAGGTGCTATGTCTCCTGGGAATAGCCCTCTTGGCCAGCACATGCTGTGGAGGTCTGCTTTCCAGATGTGTGAGTGTCACAGACTTTGTCCTTAGGGATGATTCTAAGAGAAGAAATGTAGACAGTGCCGCGAGGAATAAAGGCAGTAAGCAGACCTGTGAGGGACAACCCTCTCTGATGTACACGGCTGGGCAACACTGGGAGATGCTAAGGGCTGAGTTGGATGATTAGCTTGGGCCCAAGTGACTCTTGGAATTGTCAGTACTCACTTGATAATCTTTGTTTTTCTACAGGAGACAGGGCAGAAGGGGCAGAGAATAAAACAAGTGACAAAGCCAACAACAGTCGGGGTCTTGGCGGCAACAGCAAGAGCCAAAGCAGCACGGCCACCGAGGGCCAGGCCTTGGAGAAGCGGATGAAGCAGCTCTCCCTCCAGTGCTCCAAGGGGAGAGATGGAATCATTGCCAACATAAAAATGGTGCAGATTGGCTGATCCACCCAGGGCCCCGGCCCACATGCTGTCAGTATTTATACATGAAACTGTATGGAGAACATCGTGCCAGTACTCATTTAATATATGCCAAATCTTAAGCGTTTGCTCTAAACTGCACTAATGAAGTTTCAGTGACCCTGAGGGCTGAAGATTCTTCCTAAAATCTCTTGGGCTGGTTGGTTTTTCAGAGTGGTGGAGCTGTTACAGGTGGACTTGTGACCAGGCTCACCGCCTCTGTGGAACGTTCTCTGTAGCGACATGGTGGAAGCAATAACTAGTTCTTATGAAAGAACCTGAGCCAGGAAGGGGGCTGGGAAGCCAAGCCAAACAGGTCAACAGCTTGCTTCTCTTTCCCTTCTCTCACCCTCAGTTTGTTTGGGAAGATGGAGATGTGCTCTCCTTTATATCCCAGGAGAGCTAAATGAAATCATTAAAACTCAAGTACTCAAAGCACACCTTCTCGACCCTTTGAAGGCTAAAAAAAAAAAAAAAAACAAAAAACACCAAGAATCGGATATTTAGGTCACGAACACAATTTTCATCACCTCTGGTGTACAGAGGGGGCTTTTTAAAAAGCGTGCATGCTGGGACACCCACCTAGACGCTTTTAAAAGTATTTTCTAGAAAGGTTACCATGAGCTGCACTTTTTGGGAGGGGAAAGGTGAACACTATTGTGGGGAGGGGGGTTGAGGGTAGTAGGGACATAGCATAGAAGAGGATTTGTGGCTGTGGGGGAGAAGGTTCTGTGGCATAAACCTTACCCTACCAGCCAAGGGGACTTGTTCTAAGAGAAGTGCATGAGGAGAATGGTTGCCATTGTTATAGATTGCCACGGTGTTAATTTCTCTGTAGGTTGTATAACTTTAAATGAAATTATTTAAGGGTTACGCTGCACTATTATTCCTTAGAGAAAGCTGTTCCTTAAAAGCTAGGAAAGGAAATAGGCATGTGTTGGCAAAGGCTGTTAAATAGAAGCAATGGAGTCTGTTATGCTAATAGTAGGAAGTGTTAAGACTGCTTTTTTTCATGTTTTCATGGTTATACATACTTAGAGCTTATTTGTCCTTTTTTTAAAAGAAAATTTAGCATTTCTAAAAGAAAAAAGACAGCAACCTCCCCATTTCATCTGTCAGTCCTGTCACAGCTTGTATATTGTCATTTGTATATCTCTTCATACTGTAGTGATTTCTCCTTTTTTATTGACTGACACAGTATCCTGATTACAAGGTAATTTTGTACTTGTCTTAATACCTGGAGTGTAATAAAAACAGCTTAAGAAAATGTCTAACTTCTGTGACTTCAGATGAGAAGTGCCAAAGCTGCGTAAATCTTCTATTCCAGGCGACTGTGTCACCGTAAGAAAAAGCATGCAGTTCATGGTTATTTGTTCAGCTGAGGTCCTGGATCCTAATAATTAAGCCTCTATTACAAGGTTTGAATTAGAAGTCCACTTTTGCTGCTGCTAAAGCCGAGCAGCGAGGAAGCATGGTGGCAGGGTAATAGGAGTGGCTGCACATTGCCATCTCCCAGGGAGCTTTGGAGATGCTGCGGTCTGGGCTATATCCCCAGAGACTAATTGATTTGGGATACACTTGGGCACTGGACTTCTAAAAGCTCCCCAGGTGATTCTAATGTGTTGCCATGGATGATGGTCAGATGGTCATCTTGGATCCCTTTTCTAGTGAAAATGATGTGAGAGTGCTGGAGTTTTCATCTGTGCACTTCCTATTAAAGCATGCTGTGGGGAAAAAGTGAATGGTGGGCCAACAATCATGGGGATTAAAAAAGACATTAATTCAGAAAAGATAATCATTTACAGTATCAAATATAGATGTTTACCTTAAGCAGTTAACATTTCATCTAGAGAAGTTCACAAAGAAGCCCCTTTCAGTATAGTTAAGTATGAGAGGAACTGCAGAGTGGACTGGGATTCTAGTGACCCTATTTTCAGGGTCCATTCAATGCTCAAATAAAATCCCTTTGCACAGTGACTTCTACTCTGAAGACACACTTTCTGGAATTACTGTTAGTGAACCTATTCCCTACAGTTGAGGCATCACTCATTTTTTTCCCCCTAGAAAAAAACAGCATCTAGAAAAATGGCCAAAATTGCCATGGTTTAAAGTTTCTATGATGTTTCTCAAATTGTATGGTCTCTAGGCCTGTTTCTTCAGTTGTAGATCAGAAATTATAGTACCTGTATTTTATTCAGCTGTTGTGAAGACAAAAAGGAGAAATACATATGCTGGGCACATAGTAACCACTCAGTAACTGCAGGTTACTATTTACAGTCTGCCTTTTGAAGCTTTTGAAGTAAAAATATCACTTCTTCAAAGGAGTCTATTGGCCCAGCCAAAGTTAAATCTTTCCCTCACCTGGACATCTATAGCACCGTTTTGGAGCTCTACCGTAGAATTCAACACTATACTAACTTGTTCACGTTTAGGTTTCCTCCATTTGATTTTTTAAAACACTTCATTGTGCTTTAGGCAAAAGTTAACAGAGCAAATTAGTTTCTAATTCAAAAATGTATACGCAAATTTTTGATGACATTGGTTGCAATCCCTGCAATGTGTCGGCATTCTCCCCGTTTTCCATCCCAGGTTCCCCATTTTCCTTCCTCAGGTTTTCCTGCCCCTTCCTGCTTTCTCGTCTTTGCTTTTGGGCAGGTGTTGCCCATTTGGTCTCATATACTTGACAGATCTAAGGAGCACATTCCTCGCGGTGTTACTGTTTTATAGGCCGGCCTAATGTTGAAAGGTGAACTTTGGGAGCAGCTTCAGTTCTGAGTTAGAAGGGTGTCTGGAGGCCACAGTCTTGGGGGTTCTTCCAGTCTTTCAGACCAGTAAGTCTGGTCTTTATGAATTTGAATTTTGTTCTACATTTTTCTCCTGCTCTGTCAAGGACCCTCTATTGTGATCCCGGTCAGAGCGGTCAGTGGTGGTAGTTGGGCACCATCCAGTTCTTCTGGGCTCGGGCTGGTCCATTAGTGGATCATGTGGTCCAGTAGTCCTTTGGACTAATTTCCTTGTGTCTTTGGTTTTCTTCATTCTCTTTTGCTCCAGACAGGATGAGACCAATAAATGTATCTTAGATGGCTGCTCACAAGCTTTTAAGACCCCACGCACTACTCACCAAAGTAGGATGTGTAGAATATTTTCTTTATGAACTATGTTATGCCAGTTGACCTAGATGTCCCTCAAGACGATGATCCCCAGGCCTCTGTCACAGTAACTCAGTCTCTCAAGGTGTTTGGTTATGTCTAGGAAATTTCTATGACTGTGTCCCCTTTGTGCTCTATTATGTATGAATATACATGCTGCACATACAATTATGTATGTAAAAATACCCACAGCCTAATCTACATGTACCTGGGTATACTGCTGTATGCCCTCATTTCACATTTCAGCATTAAGTTTCTACCTGTGAATCTGCTGGTAAATTATTTGTTTTTACTGTTGTAGGGTTGTATATATTATTTACTGTGGTTGCCTTTTTTTTTTCTTGCATTCCTCTCAATGTCTTTTGCCTTGGTGACATTGTGCTGACTTCCCTATACTGTGTATTGCCTTTGCCTTCACCAAAGTCAATACTTGTCTACTATATAGTTAGTGATTTCCCAGCCCCATCCCCCCTCTCCCAGTTAACCATCAAGGAATGTTTCTTTCTGTGTGTAAAACTTTTTGAGTTTTTATAATACTGGTCTCACAATACTTGTCCTTTCATGACTGACTTATTTCACTCGGTATAATGCCCTCAAGATTCATCCATGTTGTGAGATGTTTTGTAGATTCATCATTGTTCTTTAATTGTTGCATAGTATTCCACCGTGTATACGTACCATGATTTGTTTATCCATTCATCTGTTGATGGACACTTAGATTGCTTCCATCTTTTTGCTATTGTGAATAATGCTGCAATGAACATGGGTGTGCATATGTCTATTCATGTGACTGCTCTTATTTCTCTAAGATATATTTCTAGGAGTGGGACTGCTGGATCATATGGCATTTCTAGCTTATTAAGGACGCACCGTATCGTTTTCCATAGTGATTGTATCATTTTACATTCCCGACAGTAGTGTATGAGAGTTCCAATCTCCCCACAACCTTGCCAGCATTTATTGTTTTCTGAATTTTTGATGAGTGCCATTCTTGCAGGGGTGAGATGATATCTCATTGTAGTTTTGATCTGAATCTAATGGCTAATGCCGCCACTCGTCTGTCAGTTTGTTGTACCATGGTGGCTTGCATGTTGCTGTGATGCTGGAAGCTATGCCACCAGTATTTCAAATACCAGGAGGGTCACCCATGGTGGACAGGTTTCAGCTGAGCTTCCAGATTAAGACAGACTAGAAGAAGAACCTGGCAGTCTACTTCTGGAAAAATTGGCCAGTGGAAAACTTATGAATAGCAGCAGAACACTGACATAGTGCCGGAAGATGAGCCCCTCACGTTGGAAGGCACTCAAAATATGGACACAATGGCTGCAATGATGGGCTCAAGCATAGCAATGATTGTGAGGATGGTACAGGACTGGGCACTGTTTCATTCTGTTGTACACAGGGTCGCTATGAGTTGGAACTGACTCAACGGCACCTAACAACAACGGCTAATGATCATGAACATCTTTTCATGTATTCGTTGGCTACCTGAATGTCCTCTTCGGTCAAGTGTCTGTTCATGTCCTTTGCCCATTTTGTGATTGGTTGTTTTTTTATTGTTTTCTATATATTGTAAACTTTCTTCAGCTATGTCATTGCCAAAGATTTTTTCCCAGTCTGTAGGTTCTCTTTTTACACTCTTGGAAAAGTCTTTTGATGAGCAGAAATATTTTTTCAGAGGTCCCAGTTACCTAGTTTATCTTCTGGATTTTGTGCATCTTTAGTTATGCTTTATATTCTGTTTATGCCATAAACTAGGGCCCCTAGCGTTGCTATGTTTTCTTTCATGATGTTCATCGTTTCAGGTTTTACATTTAGGTCTTTGATCCATTTTGAGTTAGTTTTTGTTTATGGTGTGAGGTATGGATCTTGTTTCATTTTTCTGCAAATGGATATTAAGTTTTGCCAGAAAAGACTATCTCTTCCCCATTTAATGGACTTCAACCTTTTGTTGAAGATCAGCTGTCCATAGATGGATGGATTTACTTCTAGATTCTCAATTCTGTACCACTGGCCTGTGTGTCTGTTGTTGTACCAGTACCAGGCTGTAATGACTACTGTGGCTGTACAGTAGGTTCTGAGACTGGGTAGTGTAAGGTCTCCTACTTTGTTCTTCAGTAATGCTTTACATATCTGGAGGTTCTTTCCTTTCCATAAAAAGTTGATTAGTTTTTCCATCTCGTTACAACAATGTTGTTGGAATGTAGATCGGGATTGCATTATATCTATAAATTGCTTTGGGTAGTACTGACATTTTCACAATGTTAAGTATATCCATGAGCATGGTATGTTTTTCCATTTATGAAGGTGTCTTTTGGTTTCTTGCAGTAGTGTTTTGCAGT